GGGGGGGGGGTCCAGCCATGGCCTCACTACTCCAGAATGACAAATACGCCATCGGAAAACAATTTGTGATTTTCTTGAGGGATCGCACACTTTGGCCCAACAGAAACTGTGTGTCCGACTGTCTGCTCGTCTGTTCAGTTGTCCTCCCCGCAAGGTCTCCAGTGAGCTAACGCAGCAGAGCTGACAAAGGCGCCGTTCCAGACCCGCGATTATTGGGAAATACAGCCATTGCATAAAATAAAAAAAAAGAATGGACTTCATTAGGGAAGCCGCCGCCCCGCGGGCGTGGTCAGGGTATCGCCCGCCGCCAGGGACAGAGGCGCAGTCCCCAGGGAGGTGCCGTGGCCGCTGCTCAGGCCTCCGCCGCTGCGCCGGCCCGTCCGTCCGCTTTCGGGGCGGCCATGGGCGTGTGAGCGACCGGGCGCCGTCAGTCCCCTCCGTCGGCTCTGCGGGTTGCTCCTGGATGCCCCGTGAGTATGGCGTCTTCCCTTTGGGGGGATCGGGGGCTTCTGCTCGTCCGTGTGGGGTGAGGGTTGCCCCGGATGACGAGGGGACCCAGCCCGTCCCGGGGCGCGCTCTGCCGAGGGGTGTGGAGGGTGCGGACCTGGGAGCCCCCCTCGAAGAGCCAGGCCCAGAGTGGTGTTCGTGGGTGTCTGGTTCTCATGGGTGTTGACTTCCAGTGCTTTTCTAGAGGAGACTCCTTTGTAAGGGGGTGGGAGACAAGGGGGGCCCCCAACTCAGGCCTGCCCCGCGCCCCGGTTCTGGCCACCTCAGCCTCAGCCGTGAGCTTTTCTCTCTGAGGACAGAGGCTGCATGGCTGTTTATTTCGTGGAGAAAGTGAGGCCAGGCAGCCCGTCTCACGCCCTTTTGCGGACTCGTCCGAGGGTGGTGGATCCCCGCTCTGCCCTAGCAGATGCTCGCTGCGACCTCCAACAGCTCCTTTGCCCTCCCTGGGACTCAGTTTCCCCTTGCAGCACACGCGGCCTTAAAGTTGATGGTCGCTGCACCTCTCCAACCCACATATCCCCTCAGGCCAGGACGGAGTCCTGGGGCAGGGGAAGCAGCCAGGCAAAGAGCTGGACGTGCTTGAGGGTCTGGCGGAGTCCCGGGGGGGCTGGGGACACCGCCTCTCAGGAGGGGGCTCCTGCTCGGGCTCCGGGGGCTGCGGGTCAGTCAGCAGCCTGAGCGGGACCATTCGCGGGGCAGGGCTCAGAGCCCCAGTGCCTGGCACAAAATAGCGAGGGCTCAAAATATCTCTTAGGAGGACGGAGGTGGAGGTCCCCAGGGCCAGTTTAGAGGCGGGTGTGTCCCATGTTGTCTCCAAGGAGGGGGCCCAGGTACACCACCGTGGCCATCAGGCTTATTTCATGGGTCTTCTCTCACCTCCAACAGAGGAAGACAGGTAAGCCTTGCCATCACTTAGCTGTAACTTCTAATATGTCGAGAGTGATCTCTTAAAACAATGTCGACTCCCTTAAAATAGGGGGGCCACGGAGCATGATCCGATGTCTCCTGGAGCCCGGGGCCTCGGGCTGGTGTGTAGGAGGACCCCTAGCGTCACGCAGGCAAAGGGGGGCACTGGGTTTATCAGCATGCTCTACGCTCCGTGGGAACTCCGGGAAGGACTGGGGAAAGCTGGGGTCTGAGGGCCTGGGGTCCCTCGGGGCAAGACACCGGTGTCCAGCCGGGACAGGAAAGGGCCCATCGAGGAGTGGGCGCTCCAGCCGGCTGGCGTTGGCTCATTAGGGCTCACTGGCAATGGGAACTCCCCAAAGCACCCTAAACTTTTAGTCTCATTGGCTTGTGAGGACCGACACCTCGTAAACTTTTCCTTCCATTCAGTTTCATCCGAGGGAGGAGAGGTAGCACAGCGACGGTCACAGGGGCGCTGTCCCGGACCTGGGCCCTCTGAACTACACACTTGGCACTGAGCGCCTCCTTTGTGCCCGCGGGTGCTGTGCTGGCGTGTTGTCTCCTCAGACCTCTGGTGGAAATCATTTCCCCAGATTAACAGGGAATAAACCTGGGGCCAGGATAGCCAGGGAGGAACTGAAGCTCTGGCCCCGTGTGCCCACAGGGCTCCGTTTCTGTTTTGTCTTCTCTCTCTCGTTTATTTTGTTTACCTAGTTTATCTAGAGTGACAGTCCCCGCCTCCCCCCACACACAAAACAAAAACCAAAGGAGGGGTTACTCAACTTGGGCAGTCTAATGATTTATTGGGAAACAACCAGCCACTCAGCTATTTTAATTGATGGAATAAACAAAAATGAGCCAACTCAGGCAGCTGGGACTGGTACCCACCCATCTGACAAGTCTAGGTCAGGGAAGGGCCCGTGATGACGGATAGAAAGGCCCAGAAAGGGGTCTAGTGTGGGCTGTCTGTGGGGAGAAAGGCCAGGCGGCGGGCACTCGGGGAACTGGGCAGGAGGCCTGTGGGGGCCACTGTGACACAGCCTAGAGAGGTGGGGGAAGTTGAGACCTGGCAGGGTGTAGACTGTGTCCCAAGGGCTGGGGGCTGCAAGCTGATTAGCAGCATCTAGTGGGGAGGAAGCCAAAGTATTACTGTCCCCCATTTAAAAGATGACAACATCGAAGCTCTGAAGGGCAGAGGCTTGGTGCCTGCCACCAACAGACACATGAGCAAAAGAAGGCCAGTATCCTGACTTCTGATCCCATAGTCAGTTGCTGTTCCTGAAACTCAGTGAGTTTTAGGGGTCACTGCTGGGCATCACTGTAAAACCGTGTGTGAGAGCTGTCTGTGCCAGAAAATGTTTCTGGGATGGAGCTCCCAGCAGTTTCCCTCCCCTGCTCCGGGTCCTGGTACCGTCCTGCCCGGCAGGTTGCTCAATGGTTTCTCATCGCACCTGGCTGATAAGCCTGCTGTGAGAATGTTCTCTGAGCTCCTTGATGAAGTGTCTAAACGCTACCCCTGGGCACTAGGAAATGGGGCCCTCAGAGGGGCCATCTACGTGAATACAAGAAGCTCCCATTATTAATCCAGGCAGACTTCGTCCACTGTCCAGTCCACTAACCTGGGAGACTGAACCCATTCCATTTGCTGTTTTCTTTTCTTATCTGAAACATCCCCGGGGATTTTACTAATCTTCTTTCCTATAATCTATTTTTAAGCAATCTCTAGAGCCCTCGTTCATCACCAGCTATTTAATTTTTACTGAGAAAAATGTGTCATTAGGAGTGAAAGGTGCTTAGACATCACCTAGGCTCAGAGAGGGGAAGTCATTTCCACAGTGTCACACAGCAATAAGGCGTAAGATCAGAGCCAGGTCTCCTGACTTCTTGGTAGTCCCAGGTTAAAATGTGTGTGTGTGTGTGTGTGTACACTTGTGCCCTGGCCTGTGTGGCTCAGTTGGTTGAACACTGTCCCATGCACTGAAAGGTTGGTGGTTCAATTCCCAGTCAGGTCACACACCCAGATTGTGGTTCCTTCCCTGGTCAGGGTGCATGCAGGAGGCAACCGATTGATGTTTCTCTCTCACATCGATGACTCTCTCTCTCCCCCTTTCTCTTTCTCTCCCCCTCTTTCTAAAAATCAATAAAACATTTAAATATATGTGTATATATATATATATATATGTATATATGTATATATATATATGTATATGTATATATATACATATTTGTGTGTGTGTGTATTTATGTATATATTTGTGCTAGTATGCTTTTGGCTTCAAGTAACTGACCATGTAACTCACACTAGAGTCACTGGAAGTCTAGAGGTAGGGTGGGCTCTGGGTGGGCTTAATCTGTGGCCCCAGCTCCAGTTTCTCTGCAAAGCCCTTGGATGCATCCTCATTGACTTGTCCTAGAGTCACTTCCCTCACTGGGCAAATGGCTGTGGAAGTCCCGGTGTCTACACCTTCCTGCCAAGGACATCCAGAGGACGAAAAAGGGCAGTACCCCAACATCCCAGCAAAGAGCCTGAAATTCCCCTTCGTTGGATCACCTACCTCTCGTGCCCCTCCCTGGACAACAGTCGGGCAGAACTCACTGTGGCCTGACTGGCTTAGGGCCGGCTCTTAAAGCAGCCACTAGCGGGGAGCCGAGGTTACCCTGCCCCAGGCAGAGCCCCCTTCTGTGCTGGGGATGGGTCCTCTATCCCTAAGGCTCAGGGAGTGGAGGGAGCAGTTCCTCAAAGGAACTGAGATTCTGTTACCATGAGATGGGCAAGACAGGTACAAAAACTAGAGCTGTTTTCTACTCAGGCCTGTCATTTATAAAATGAGGACAATCATTTCTTGTCCCCAGGGTGATTGTAGAGGTTAAGTGCTATATGGATGTCAAAGCACTTATAAGCCACTGTGCATGGCACATGCTAATCACTGTATTACTTCTTCCATGGTCTTTCCTGAGGATAGACAGGGGCAATGGGGCTCTTTTGTTCTTTTTTTCCACTAACCTCAGGTCTACTACTCAACAGGACAATCTCCAAGGAAAATGAACCCCCCGCTGGGCCTGGGCCTGCTTCTGGCTGGCCTCCTCACTGTGGAAGGTCTTCTGAAGCCCAATGTTTCTCCAAAGAATCATGGAGCTGTGAGCCTGGCCCAAGAGTGGAAGGGAAGGAGGGCAGCCCAGGAGCTAGCGAGGCAGAACGTGGACTTCGGCTTCAAGCTGTACAGGAAACTGGCCTCCACTGGCCCCAGCAAGAACATCTTCTTTTCCCCCATAAGCATCTCCACAGCCTTCTCCGTGCTGTGTCTAGGTGCCCAGAACACCACGCTGGCCGAGATCAAGCAGGGCCTCAACTTCAGGGGTATGTCGGAGAAGGGCCTCCATGAGGGTTTCCATTACCTTATCCAGAGTCTGAACCAGAAGACCCAGGACCTCCAGCTGGACCTCGAGAACTCCTTGTTCATTGACCAGAGGCTGCGGCCAGAGGAGAAGTTTATGGCAGATGCCAAGAACCTGTACAATGCAAACAGTGTGCCCACCAACTTCCAGAACTTAGAAAATGCTCAGAAGCAGATCAATGACTATGTCAGTCAGAAAACCCAGGGGAAAATCGATAACCTGATCAAGAATATAGATCCTGGCACTGTGATGCTTCTTGTTAACTGTATTATCTTTCGAGGTAAGGCTTGGGACAGGTTGGCATGAAAAAGATAGCATGACCACTAGACTTGGATTAGAAACCGGGATTGGCCCTTGCTTACTCTGTGACCTTGAATTTATAAGTCTCTCAAAGACTCACTTTTCCTATCTGCAAAATGAGCACCTTGCTATGTAACTCACAGGGCAGTCCTCGGTGTTCAAAGCAAAAATGTATGCAAAATGAACTCTGTGAAGTCTAAGCTATTTTCCACATGTGCATTCTCATTACCACTGGCTACCCTAACACAACACTGGCTATACGGGTTGCAGGGACTTTCTTTTCCTCACTTTTTAGAAAAGGAAAGTGAAATTCAGAGAGACATTAATTGACATACTCAGTTACGAAGCCAGTCAATGAAAGTCAGAGCTAAAACCCACGTTTCTTGGCCCCAGAGTGGTGCACTCCCCAGCATTCCAAGCAGATTCCCAGGACAGTGACGGTGTTGTTGATGATGGTGATTGGTGGGTGCTTTGGTCTCCTATCAAACCCTGTAGATTCCCAAGTCTGAGGGTGAGAGATTGAAAAAGAAGGTGGAAGAATGTCCCCAAATCCAAGCAGCATCCCTCCCACCATACACACCTACACGCTTACACAGTTTCACCAACATAGGTGAGAATCAGAAGCCAATAGCCCTCAGGCCAGGCAAGGTTACTGCTGGGCTGTCAGCAACATGGTTCTGAATATGGAAGTTCAGTTCTCTCCAAACCCACAGGGAGATGGATGGCAAAAGAGGGGGGAAAGAGTGAAAATGGTAGACTGAAATCTTAGGCTTCCCAAAGCAGAGGGAGAAAGGAGAATCTGGGAATTCCCTAATTCTCACACCCCCTAGATTACAACAAGAACAATGGTGCCGATGATGCTGATGATGCCTAGCATTCACTCAACACTTACTATACACAGGCACTAAGCTGTGCTGCCTTTTCCCAGTCTCACAGCAGCCCTATGAGGTGTCCATCAATATCCCCATTCTGCAGATAGGGACACAGAAGCCCAGTAAGGTTAAGACATTTGCTCAAGGTTATATGTCTAGAACAGTAGAGCTAGAATTTGAACTGTGGGGGCTCTGAAGGTAGTGAGTGCGAAAAGACCCAGATCTGACTTTATGTTCAACAGCATCAAAGAATCCTCAGGATAGAAAAGGAGGGGTCCCAGACACCCTGCTTTGGGAGTTCACTGCTCTTCAGCAGGCTCCCAAGGGCAGACTGTTCCATCAGTTTTCTTAGTCCCATGTGAGAACAGCTCCTCCAGAGCTGACTTAGAATAAAGCTGAGCATTTTCACTCATATCAGGTCCAAATAGCCCCCACTAAGTATAATCTAGTCCCCTCTGCTGAGACACAGTCCACAGACTTTCTCACTCTCAGGAGTACCTGGGCTTAGGGCTGCCTGAAGCTCCCCCCTGGGCTCAGCAGCCCCAGCTCTGGCTTCTTTGGGAACTGGTAATCAAGCCCTGGCCCACCTCACTAGAAATCCTTGGGGTATGTCATGAGCACAGGGATTCCTGGAGATGTATCCTGATGTCCCAGAGTATCCCTTTCCTTGAATGCATGTGGACAGAGACCAGTGCTAAGCTGGATCCAGTCACTTCTCCTTCAGGACACTCACATCACTTTGTTCTCCTTCGATCTTAAGCCAGGTGGCGATATGAGTTTGATCCAAAAGCAACCAAAGAGAAAGACTTCTTTCTGGATGAAAACAAGCCAGTGAAGGTGCCCATGATGTTCCACGGGGGCATGTATGCGGTTGGCTACGACGAGCAGCTCGGCTGCACGGTCCTGGAGATGCCCTACTTCAACAACGTCACGGCCACCTTCGTCCTTCCCGATAAGGGCAGAATGAGGCAGGTGGAGGAGGCCCTGACTCTGACCACTTTCGACAGATGGAAAAAGCTAATCACGCGAAGGTAAAGAGGGGTCTGGCGTGTGCGGCTTCCTCCCTTCCTCCTACTCTCTTCACTTCTTCCATCCCAGGTTTCCTGAGCTCTTGCCCCATCCCTGCCCCCAGGCTATTTCTATTTCCCACGCGGCTGCAGCCACGGTGCCCACGGTGGTTGCTCCACGTTCCCCTGGCCAAGCCCCTCTGCAGCCCCCGGAGCTGAGGTCACCACATGGCACCACTGACTGCATGCAAATGTTTCTGGGGGGCTGTCATCATTTTTCTGGTTTCAGGAGAGTACACACGCCTCCCTTTGCCCCTCCACCCAAGTGTGGGACAGGCCCTGTGACATTTCCTACAGGTCAGCACAGGCCTTGCAGGAGGTCTGGGGGTAACAGACCCCACGTTCCCCACAGGGGCCCAAGGATACCGACAATGCACAGAAGCGACTTCTCGTGGAGTCCAAGTGCAGGCTGCTCTTAGGGCCTCCTCCAGATGCCCTCCTAGCTGCTCCTGTCTGCCTCCCCCACCACTAGGACTTCTCCCGGCATCTCCATGCTCGAGGCTTGGCCACCCAGCCAGGAGGTCATGGACAGCAGTGCTCTTCCCACCGAGGCCAGGCCCGGCCTCCCCCATCACTTCTGGCCCCAGAATGACTGGCGGCAGCACTGTCCACACCCTCATGGGAAACGCCATATCCATCTGCAGGGAAGGACTCTTGTCCATGGTCCCCGGGGGGAAGGCTGCATTTCATCAGAACGTGACAGGCCAACCTTCTTACCTCTGAGCTCATGCAGTCTGGGGGACAAGTTGTCAAGCCTGGACCACTCCACTGGTCCTTAGTGGGAGAGGGCAGGGGGACGGTCCCCTCCAGACCAGAAGGCCTAGGACAAGCTGAAGAGAAAATGCACGTTTTCCCCAGGAGACGGGACTAAGCCAGCAGACACACACCTGAAAGACGCCAACAGATGTGTGCACAGCACACTTGGGAACTCAGGCTCTGCGTGGCGTCAGCCTAGGGCCTGCACGTAGGCAGCCCCCGCGTTGTCCGCGTAATTAGCAGCCTGCCCTGAGATTCCCCAGAGGACAGGCTCCATGTCCCCAAAGGCAGACCAAAGCTCCACCTGCAGGACGCGAGATCTCTGGCGGCCTTGAAATGTCCATTTTCCTGTTAAGAACGTCCTGGGTTCCCACCACGCCTTCGCCTGCTCAGTAGCCACCTGGCACGCAGCATGGCGTGTTTCCCGTGTCCCCAACTGGACAGGAGCTAAAGCCGTCCTTGCGCCCCACTGCTCAGGGCGGCTCCCTGAAAGCCCTTGCTTTCCGAAGCCAGCAGGCGCGCTTGCTCTCCACAGAGCCGGCTGCAGTTTCCCCTCCTGCCCCCGGCCCCAGGGCTCCGGTTTTGCGCCCCGTTGCAGGCGATCGATCCCCTTGCAGCAGTCGCCCCCCTTCACTGTCCACAGCTCTCTCCCGGCCGCCCCTAAAGCCGCTGCAGCCGGCCCTCTGTGCTCGTCTCCACGGGGCGCTCGCCAAGGTTCCCGGCCCAGGGCCTCGTGGGGCTGGATCCGGGTCGGTTTCAGGCCCATCTTTCTCAGCCTATCCACACACTTGACCCAGCAGGTCCCCCACCTTCCTAAGAGGTGTCCCCCGTCTCCTCATTCCTCTCAGCTCCTCCTTCTCAGTCCCCTTCTGGCCCCCCTCTATGCCCCAGGTCCGAGCTGAGGGCACAGGCTCGCTCATCCTCAGCTTCCTCCCACTGATATTCACCCCCGGCGCGCATCAGGCTCCGAGCGTTCACTGCAGCCGCCACGTTACTCTGTTTCTGGTCTCAGCTCTCTCCTGGCTCCAGGCCACAGGCCCATCTGCTCAGCCAGGACCTCCCCGGGATGCCTGAGATCTCAGTCCCACGTGTCCAGAAGGAGCATCCTGATCTCCCCCCAGGGAACCTCCAAAAGCTTCCGTCTCCCCAGTGGTGACTCCATCCTTTTAGTTGCTCAACTGAAAAACCTTGGGGGCCTCCATGACCACTCTCGTCTTTCCAGCCCCTTGTTTGGTCTGTCAGGGGACCCCATCAGCCCCACTTTAAAATATACCTGGAGTCTGATCCTTCTGGCCAGCGCCGTGACTCCCAACATCCGACTGCCACTCTAACTAGCAAATGGTCTCCCGGCATCACCTCTGGTCCCCGCCCTTCGCCATTAGAAGAATATTTTTAACAGAGCAGACAAAATGGTCCCTTTAAACCAGGGGTGAGGAACCTTTTTTCTGCCAAGGGCCATTTGGATATTTATACCATCATTTGCGGGCCGCACAAAATATCAACTTAAAAATTAGCTATGAGAAAAACTCCTAGATTTATTGAACTTTGAGTAGCCTGCAGTTGCCTTGGCAGGGCCAGGCCAAATGGCCCGTGGGCCGGACATTCCCCAGCCCTGCCCCTAAGCAAGACCATGTTACCCCTCTGTTCAGAACCCTATGGCGGCTCCTCATTTCACTCAGAAAAAAAAAAACCAGCTCCCCTAACTCCTTTGTCTCTGTGCAAGTTTGCTCAATTCTTCGCTTTTCTCCAGCATCCCTGATGCCCATGAGCCGACCTGTATTCTCCCATATCGCGTGCTGCCTCCTTATACGTAGACTACCCGTCTGTGCGTCTCTGCCAAGTGTGGCTTTTGTTCTGTTGATTTCATTGCCTGTCTTCCTGAGGAAGCACAAGCTCAAGGGCATGGATTTTTGCCTGTTCTGTTCACGGATGTACCTAAGCATCTAGAACGGCACCTGGTACACAGTAAGCACTTAATAAATACTTGTTGAAGGAATAGATGAGTGGAAAGGTAAGTTTGGGAGTCGTTGGGCCTATCTCTGGTATTTAAAACTGTGATGATGAATGAGCTCCCCAGGGAGGGAGAAAGACAGAAGAGAGAAGACCATGGTCTGGGGCTTGGAGCATCAGCGATGACACAGGCGACAAGGTGGAGGCAATAAAGGGTGAGAGAGGGGGCGGCTGGTGAAGGAAGGAGAAGGCATGGGCTTGGGTCACAGTGCTCCAAGATGGAAAGACGCACCAGCTGTCTAATGCTGGCCTCTGAGAGTTCGCAGTGGAGTCCAGCAAGTTAACGTCACAGCGGCTCTGGAAAGAGCTACTTTGGCAGAACGTGGAGGACAACCCCTGGTTAGAGTGGGTGGAGGCAATAATGGGAGAAGTGGAGATAACTGGTGGGTACAACCTCTGCTATGAATAAAAGACATGGGCTGGAGGCTGGAGAGGTGGCTCAGGGCCAGCAGAGATGTTTTGTTTTTGTGTTTTTAATATGTTTTTATTGATTTTAGAGAGAGAGAGAGGGACAGGGAGAGAGAGAAGAGAAACATCGATGTGAGAGAGAAACATGGATCGGCTGCCTCCTGAACACACCCCAAATAGGGACCAAACCTGGGCCCTGGGCACATGCCCAGACTGGGAATTGAACCAGTGACCCCTCGGTGTACAGGATGACACTCAACCAACTGAGCCACACTGGCCAGGGTCCGATGGAGATTTGTTTTGCTTTGTTTTTTCGGATAAGGGTTATTATAGCAGGTGCTCTGCTCCTGAGAGTGGTCAAGTAGACGCCATTTAGGGGGAGTGCAGGCAAGAAAGGAAGCATAGGCGGGAATGGGTTCTTGGTGACGCAAGAAGAAATGGGGTTCAGGGACAGAAGGACAGGAATGGAAGGCCCACAGGTCCTCGTGGACACCTGACTACAGGTCCTAGGCAGAAGGATCAAGCCGGGTCCCACCCACGGAGGATGTGAAGTTGCTAAGTCCAGGGCTAGAGGGTGAACACTTGCCGACCACTGGCTGCTGAGCACCCTCCGTGCCTCCCCACGAGCACTCTCACTGCCCTGTGGGTGCATAGTTATCATCATCATCTCCCCACAAATGACTCAGAGAGGTGAGATCAGCTCCAAGCCACAGAGCTCCTGAGTGACGGAGGGGATATGACCACTTCTGCCTGGCTTCAGGTCTCGGGCCCTGCTGCCAAGCGTCAGGCCTGCTGGCACAACCGGCTGGGCTGGGGCATGGCTGAGCTGCAGTGGGGAGACCTCAGTGGCTGCAGTTGAAGGGGCCCTGAGACAGAGGGGACTTGAGAACATCTCTGGGATTAAGGCGCTGGAGCAGGTTTGACAGGAAGCAGGGGCAGTTCAGAGAGAGTGGGTATTTTGAAGGGTTGGGAAGCCCTCCTCATTCTGTGGATAAAGAGGAAGCCTGAGCCCTCCAGGGCTGCGAGGACAAACATCTCATTCACTCTTTCTCCTGGGCCTGCCCTGAAAGGGTAGAACCCTGCTGCTCACCCTTGTCTCTTCCCACTCCCCAGGGTTGTCGACGTGTCCTTGCCCAGGTTCTCCATCACTGGCACCTACGACCTAAAGAAGACTCTCTCCCAACTGGGCATCACCAAAATCTTCGAGGCGCACGGTGATCTCACCAGGATAGTCCCTAATCGAAGCCTGAAAGTAGGTGAGGTAAGTCAGCTTGGCCTGGGCATTGCCCCATCCAGCACAGGGAGCCTTCACACAGCCAGGACCAGAGGACCATCACGGCAGCCAGACAAGCCAGGATCCCACCCACCAGCCAGGCCGAGTTCAAATCCGGCTCTGCCCCTACCAGCCATGCGCTCCTGGGTGAATTGTGACCCTCCCCAAGCCTCATGCTTTCCGTCTTTAAAATAAGAACCATATTCCCAGTGCTGCTTTGGAAGTCGATTCAGGGCAACAAAAACTGATCAAGGTCCTGAACATTTATCAGGCCTAGAACGGGCCAAGGTCTGACCCAGACCCTCACTCAAAGGCATCACAGGCCTGTTGGGAATAAGTCGTAAACATGGTCTACATGATTAAGAGATGAGTGAGCAACCGGCCAGCGGTCTCCAGCAAGGCTGAGCACCTGCCTGTCGGGGGCAAACAGAGAGGAACACTTGGGGTAGACTGAGCACCTGCCTGTCGGGGGCAAACAGAGAGGAACACTTGGGGTAGGGTTCCCAGATTTAGCAGATAGAATACAGGGCACCCAGGTAAATTCAAATTTCAGATAAATGATGAATTTTTTTTTGGTATAAGTATGTCCCAAATATTGCATGGGATATACTTATACCAAAAAAAAAAAATCATCATTTATTTGAAAATAAAATTTAACTGGACATCCAGTATTTTATCTAGCAACAGTACTTTTAGGTTAAAAGGGAACTGAGGGGGGAAAGATTTCAATAAGCAGAATCAGATGTGGGGAGGGGGAGCAGCGTGGCCAAAGACTGGTGGGTGGAGGGGACCATCTGGTGCTGAGTGTGAAGGTCAAGCCAATCCGAGTTGCCAAGCTGAGCTGACGGTCACCACTGATTCAGATTTATTTTCCAGTTTGCAAGAGGAAAAAAAAGAGTTCATAGAGTTGTCTCTCTGTAAGTTTTCCTGCCACTGACATCTCCTAAACGTTCAAGGCCAGCTACCCCTTTCCTGCAGCCTTTATGGAGCTCAACGGCTTGTGTCCTTCCTCGGTTAGATGTGCCGATGGCTTGTGATCCTATATTGAACAATAGCTATCGGCCTGCTGGAAAATGGTTGGAATTGTGTAGAATGGAATGAAATGTGTCAGCATTTCACAGAAGCCCATCAATTTCCCAGCATGGATCGCCTAGTCACAGATGTTGATGGTGTTGGGGTGGATCTGGGGTCCAGGTCACCTCCCACAGCTCGCCTGGAATCTGGCTCCCTCTTCACCATCCACCAGCCACCTGCCAGGCAGGCAAAAGGGGTGTGGAGGGGACTGGAGGCCTCAGGGCAGGGCCACCACCTTCCTTCCATCTAGCTAAGGTCCAGCAGACACTTTCCACCATTACAGCCGTTGGCGCTTCCCTGTAATTCCCAGGAAGGACAGCAAACCACACTCCAACCCCCAGGCCCCCACCCTGCACCCCATAGCGATGCTCCCCTGCATCACTTTTTCTTCACTCTGCATTTCCTTGAGTGTCCTTTAGTGACGACAAATGACAGCAGAAGCCCGGGGAAGGCTGGCACCGGCTGTCACCGCTGTGCTGAGCAACTTTGGTTGAGGCTTGTCCCTCTCTGAGCCCCTCACCATCCTCAGCTCCCCCATGGCCTCCGGGTGGCTTGGCGAGCACTGATCTTGCTTCTGGTCCCCACAGGCGGTGCACAAGGCCAAGCTGAAGATCGATGAGAAGGGCACGGAGGGGGCTGCGGGGTCCGGGATGCAGACGTTGCCCATGGAGAGGCCTTTAAGCTTCAAGCTGAACAGATCCTTTCTGCTGATGATTACAGAGAACCTCACCCCTACCATGCTCTTCATGGGAAAGATTGCTAATCCTGCTGGCACCTAAGGAGAAATTCTAGTTTGCTGCAGACCCCCAGTCATGGTCTGGGGCTGACCCCATTTCATCTCGCTGGGATTGAGACCACAGGGACATTGTAATCTCCTCTCGTGTCACCAGGACCTTCCCAAGACGCCCCAACAGGCAGCTGGGCTGGCGCTCAGGCCTCTGTCTTAGCCCCCTCCCTGCCCATTCGATTGCTGGGATTAATGCTCCACCCCCACCCTCTTGGCTGGCAGTGGGTTCTCTCCCCTTGGCAGGCAGTAGGGTTTTGGGATTTAATAAATATCTGAAATACTGGCTGGTCTTTCAAATTTGAATGGAGGAGCCTAAGCTCTAGTGGTTTGTTCATCTTCAACTAATTTTACGCCAAAAAATGACTGCTGTGCATCTTAAATATTTTTCTAATGATTTCCTACCTCACAGCCATATTTTCAGTCTTCACTACAGAAATGAATTCTGAGGAAAAAAGAGGGTGAAATGTTGGGTGGGGAGCAGAGGGGGCTCTACCAAGCAGAGGGAACAGTGGGAGGCAGGCCCTGGGGCGGGGGGCGGCATGGACAATGAGCTGAAATGAGATTAGAATCGCGGGAGCCGCAGAAGGAGGCAGGAGGGGGCGGTGAGGCTGGGGGGCAGGTCGGGCCTCGGGGGCCCGGGGAGACTGCTGGCCGTGAACTGAAGAGCCGCGATGAGCTGCTGCAGGTGTTTAGTTGGAGGGTGACCCAGGAAACTCGTTTGCTACAAGTGTCCCCCTGGCTGCGGACTGGGTTCCTTGGGCCCCCAGTGCCCAGGCCGGTGCACGTCGTGGAGAACGTGCT